AAGAAGCACATTTTAAAAAGAAATAAGACAATAGCAAATTTTATAAGTTAAAAAAAGTACTTTATTTACTAGTAGATTGTTTTATCTAGTTACAAAACACCATGAGTGGTGCTTCTTTAATATAAAACAACATACACCCTTAAAATGTGGCTATGTACAAAGAATATAATAAAGTTATCTTTCAGTCTTCTCTCACAGGTCTCAACTTAAAAGAAATCTCTCTTCGCTTAACAGTGCAAAGGAAAAGTACGGAAACCCATCATGTTCCAAACCCAAGGGATGAGCCAGAGTCTACCTTGAGGAAACTGACTGGTAGGTACTGCAGTGCTCACTGTCACCTTCTGTCCAGATTTCTGGATGGTCAATGCTGAGGAATGGGAAAGTGTGGTCACTTGTTTTGCAAGGCCTCCTGAAGGCTGCTGGACTACCTGAAACAATGAGAATTATTAATACAGTCACTTCAACTAGACCTGCTTTAGGAAAGAACAAGCTTTCAATTGTAACAATAGAACAAATGATTAGGCTCACCTAACTAAATATACCTTTATCGTAGCATCACAAGAAAGCCTACTTAAAATTTAAATTTGTATGTAGCAAAATTATCTTACTCAAAAGTGAAAAACATGACTATCTCACACTATAATTTTCAGAGTGTAATTCAAATTTATATTGTTAAATTTAAATCTCCAAATAGACCCTATTTTCATCTTTTAACTTAACACAGAAAATTTCAAACACATACAAAAGCAGAGGGAACAATAAAATGAAACCACCTATACCATTATTACCCAGCTTCAACAATGATTAATTCTTGACCAATTTGATTTCATCTATATCCTTACCCACTCTCTCAATTCTCACTTCTCACTTCTCCCCACTCTCAATTATTTTAAAGCAAATCCCAGATATATCTTTTTATCCATAAATATTTCAAAATATACCTCTAGAAGATGACGACTTTCAATCGGCTGTTTTTTTTAAAAGTATCTGAAAGATAACAATGCTACAGGCATTCTCCAAGATAACAGTTCAAGAAATCCAGAGGGTGAGGGTTGGGGATAAAGGAAGAGAAATTAAAGTAATAGCAGGGCCTTGTTTTTAGCTTCAAAGAAGAAAAAACAGAATAGCAGAGTTTCATTTTTTCACTTCAAAGAAAAAAAACAGTCACCATGTATTTGAGCCAGCTATTTATAAGAGAGCGAACTATTTATAAGTCCTCAAACTCATATATGGCTAATATAAATGATCTAGGAGGTAGACTTCATAATGGAATTCTGGAGGTATAATTTATTTATACTCTAATTTTTTATAAATAAAATTGTCTAGTGCATATTACTAAACAAAAGTAACTTACAAGAAATCCAAAATGTCCCAATAAATAATCTTATAGGAACCAATGTTCCTAGAGAAAAAATACAAGTTGGAATAATTCAATTGCCATGATTCTATGAGAATAGACTCTTGAAAGAGAGAAACAACTCTTGAAAACAATGATATATTTCAGTTGAGATCATACTTATGTATTGTAAAGTCCTAGGAAACAGATTTAAATTCTATAAAGAGTCCCATTCAGAGTCCCATTCAGAGTCCCATTTATGCATTCAGATTGAAACTCAAAAGAAAACAGAAACACTCCTAACAATTCTGGCATACCTCCCTATTGTTCATATTTTCTTCCTTGATATCTTTTATTTGGTATTCTTTTCAGTATTTTAATTACAAAAGATAGTAATAAAATGTTATTAGAAATTTGCTTATGAGTTAGTCTTCATTCCATTTTTGATGGGTACTCAAAAATATTAAAAAAAAAGTAACAGCCTAGAGACCAGCCCCTGAGGTGGAAGGAGGCTCTATGCCTCCTGGGGTCCTGCCAGGAGGGGTGGGGGCATGGAGGCCAGAAGACCCCAGCATCAGCGTGTGGCCCTAGCACAGAACAAGCTGGGGAAGGCAAGCCTTGGTGCCTGCAGGAGGGCTCCCAGGCCAGGGATGTGTGTGGCTCAGCCTACAGCCCACTCCAGGGCAAGTTCATGCAGGGAGCAGGAGGCAAATGTGGCAACTGATTTAATAATCCTGGATACCCATCATTCCTCATCCTAATGAGGATGTACCAGTGAGGATGTATGCTACCAAGTGCACCCAATACACTTGGGATCACATGTGCAGTATATTCCTGCACACTTGCTGAGCAAAATAAAATACCATGAGTGAGAAAGTATAAAACAGTTCAGCAGTCTTCTTTCAAAGAAAGTACCATTTTTAGACCACAATATTAGGCATCTTATGGACACTGAAATTAGATGGAAATTGGCCCAAAGATGATATATCTGCTCCTACTTGGCAAGCAAAACAAAGAGCTATTATATTTTTAAAAACATGTCCTTTATTTACTTTCCCTCCAAAAAAAACACTAGAAAAGAAGAAGAGTAAATAGTACATACCTTAGCTTTTTCTCTTGACAAGTCAAGTTCTGATGTTTTACTAGGATGTTAACATAATTTAATGTTCTATAGTTTATAGAAACTGCAGGTCTAGAGCTACACAATATTCTTCAGGTGACAGCTATTTTTTTTACATTAATTATGATTTTTACATTAACTATGATCTGGAATATCTGACATGGAACTGTTCTTAAATTCCATAAGGAAAGGAAGCAAACAAACACAAGTACAGATTAAACTAGTAGATGAAAACACCCTTCACACTCTGCTTTCTCTATATTTCGACCCCACCAACTCCTCTGTTCATAAATACACAGCAATCAAATACTTAGCTCTAAATAACTCAAGCAGTAAATGCACACAAAGTTACTAAAGGGTAATACCTCCTCTAATTTGTATATACTATTCAATATGTGATTACTGGCACACACTCACTGAGGTTGAGTTCTAGAAAACACAGGGCCCCAAATGAACAAAAACTTTAGTATAAAAAGTCAGGAAATAGGGAATCCCTGGTGGTCCAGTGGTTAGGACTCTGTGCTTTCACTGTCGAGGGACTGGGTTCAATCCCTGGTCGGGGAACTAAGACCTCGCAAGCTGTGCAGCATGGCCCCCCCCACTAAAAAAAAAGTCAGGAAATACATGTTAGTTGCCACTATTTCTTAGGAACAGCCAATGTGTGGTTCTTGTGCCACTACTCATATTCTGGGACAAACATACATCACTAAATACCACCACTTCTATATACCCACATGCAGCCTTAGAATCTTTCTTAACACAGAGGTCCAGTAAAATCCTATAATGAGAGTTGAAATGTATTTGTCATGCCCAATCTAGATTAAAATTCAACCTTGGCAACCTCAGAATATGCTGTTTTTTCAAAGGGCCTTCTAACCACTTTTTAAAATTTGCCCTAATGAATTCTTAATTATATTACCAGCTTTTATAGAAATCAGTAAATGCTGCTTCAAATCGAGAACCTATAAATTTCTGTTAAAAAATTTAAATGTGCTTATTTGTATGATGATTTATATGAACTTTAACAACAAGCAAAACTAATCTGTGGGAGTCATTGCTTCTGGAGGTACACAGGTGGGGACTGACTGGGAAGGGACAAAAGGGAACTAACTGCAAGGTGATGGTAACACTCCATAATCTTGAAAGGGTTTGAGTTACACAGAGTTAAGCATTGTCAAAACTTATCCAATGTTACATTTAAAATTTGTGCACATCACTGAATATAAATTTTAGTTAAAAAGAAGAAAAGAGTAAACAAATATTGATTGGTAGTTAATGATATGCATGCATTAAAATTAATGTTTAATTTTTTAGGAAGAAACCTTTGAAATGTATCAAAAATTAAGATTGATGGGTGGATAAATCAAGTATAGTAACTGTAAATAGTGGAATCTAGGTGGTTGGTATATGGGTGTTCACTATAAACTTCAACTTTGCTATGTTTGGAAATTTTCATAATAAAACATTTTCTTGAATAAGGCAAAAATAAGACAACATACACACTGTAAATATTGTCTCTAAATAGTCTATTTTCCATAAATTCTAATGTATCCTCACCAAACTAAAACCTAAAAAATATATATTCTTCAATTAAGTTTAAATGAACTGGCATTAATCAACCTATATATTAAGACTACTATACGAGCCCTGACTAAATTATAGTCCATGAAGATTTTTCGACGCAACTCCTGATTATATATGGAAAATAAAGAGTAGTAGGCCTTACTTGGATTCAGCCTCTTTACCAAATCTTTCATTAGTCCTATTTGACAATCAACAACTGAATTCTACCTCTCCTGTCACTCTTAACAGCATGCTAAGAGGAAAGAAAAAAAAGACAAACTGATTACTTAAGTCTGGATCTTAGTAGATCAGTCCAATATGAAACTGACAGTGAACTACTTGACCCAATAAAACAATAATCCTGGTTTTGTTTCCTACTCAATTTTAATTTCAACTTCTTTAATAAAAATACTGGCCACCAGCATACTCAGAGGCTGAAATTTATACCTTGAAAATATTTCTCCTTCTTCAGTGAGAAGTGAAGTCAGAGATAATCAGCAGAGTTAAGCCTCACAGAGCATTTCATATAAAAATGTGTATTCTGAAATTCTTTAATGATTCCCTACTTCAAAATAATTAGGTATGAGACAAAAATATGATGCAACAACAAATTTTTTCTAATATTCTGGGTCAATTTATTTTAGGAGATCAGTTTTACTTCAATGAAACTGAAAATTACATTAATAATATACTGATAATTAGTTGTTTTTCTCTTATATCCGCAAAACAGTAATAGTTGGAGAATGATTGTTGAACGTACTTGGCCGCTTACTTATCAAATGTCTACAATTCTGTTAAGAAAGAAATGCAAGTAATAGTCACCTAGGGAAATATATATCTGAAATAAGGAAAATATCTATGATAATACTACAACTTCCTGCCCTATCTCCAAATAAAAATTTTTTTAAAAGATTTTACACACACACACACACACACACACACACACACACACACACACACGATTACTAAGAGTAACAGTATTCAGTTTACTCTCTAAAACTATACACCTTTTTTCTAAAAACAGAAACCCAGAATTTTGAATTTCCTTTCTCATTCATGATTTTTGTTCACACATGTGGATTTGAGAAGCTTATTAATTTTTTGTGTTAAAATTAGTTATTAAAATTTATCAAAATTTAACTTAAAAAATGATGAGACATTAAAATTTAGCTCTTTTAAATTAAATTAACTTTTCTAATTACATTTAAACTGAATTACTATGACAATGTTTAATTTAAATTAAATTTAGCTTTTGCTCAATTATGTGTAAAATAATTTTTTCACCAATATCGTAAGGAAAATTTTAAGCATCAAAACTCCTGAAAGCTTCTACTTATTATCTATCCACCACTGGTAGATTCTAATCCAATTCATCCACTCTCTTTCATTAACTTTTTAAAAAAGGTAAAAATGTCAAGCTCCGCTTAGTTGTAGTATATAACATCCTATAATAGCTGCTATGCCAGAATTGGTAGACAACCAATAAGATTAATCATTTAAAAGAATTAGATTCTTAGATGAAATCCGGGAACTACTGGTTAGGTCCATATTTCAACAATTCAAGCATTTGAGGACCAAGATATACAAAGCACTATGTTGAACTACTGGTACAAAATGAAAAATTTACACCTAAAGAAAGTGTGAACAATCCTAGCTAATTTACTTGATGAGAACTTCAGCAGATCCCCGGAGGGTAACATACAAAAAATCCATGAGCTAGAAAAGATAACATGTGGTCATAAATCTAAATTTTTTTTTTTTAAATTGGGAGGAGGGTCTCTTTAATCTGGAATGAAAACATATACTTCATAAAATAATAACTGTACAAAATCTAAACCCTGCAATGGTAGATTAAGAGGATTCTCATACCTTGAAAGTGTGATATTTAAAACATCTTATCAAGAAGGCAGGAAACCTATACAACTCTTCAGGAAAACTAGACAAGCTAGAAAAAGATAAAGTACTAACAGGGATTTTTAAATTCATGATTATTAAAGGAAATAAATCACACAAATTTTATACCTAACATTGAAAAACACAGCCATACTTCTACTGTTCAGACCACTTTCGGAGACTGCATCCTGAGTTACATGGACCACAGATTTGAACTAGCGTGGCAATTCTCGTATTTTAAATAATTATTTACCATATTTCTTACAAGCTGCATTGAATACTTTCTTATGTTTCTAGCACCCGGAGTGTTTTCCTCCTCACTTAGACAGACCTAGGATTAAACTGCACTATGGTTTATAATGAACTCACTGATGATATTCTTAAATTACTTGAGTAATACTAATTCAAACTTAAGTAACACTAATTTTCTAAATTAGCTGATTTGAAAGAATGTCCTAGTTCAATCCTCTCTGTGGCATTACCATACAGAAAAAACAGCTTATGTTGTTTTGTGCCCCAGGTAAAAATTTGTTATAGAACAGATTACAATGCATCTTCAGTGTCTAGCTGCTCTGTTTCTGCCATTTTAAACAGGAAGATATGAATACTGACATCAAATTTGTTGACTAAAATTGAAACAAAGGCCAAACAAGAAAACAGAATTCACAAGGAAAATATATTCCCCATTCTTTCAAGAATGAAAGCAGGAGGTTTAAAAATCCCTAAAATTTACCAGTGGGTTTTGTTACATGTTTTTCTTGATTGAAACTGTTTCTAATGTATAACAAGGTAAGCCTATAAAATGTAAATACTGTCAAGATGTTATTACCTGACAGTTTTCCATTTCAGGACCCTCTAGAAACCTAGAAGTTCTTGCCATAAGTGCCAGAATCTAATGGGAAAGACGCTGGGTTCTAGGCTGAGATCTATTTATTACTTGTTGAGTGCCAGTGGATAGGTCCCTTACAATTTCTGGGATTCTTAGTTTTCTCCCTGCCTTGTCTTCATCAAAATTATTTCAAAATCCATACTGCATACAAGACATGTTTTAAGACTCTATGTAGCTATAAAGTATTATTTCACTTAGGGGTGGATATGCTATAGATTTTCAATAAAGATAGCATTTATTCAAGAATCAGCTATGACCCATAAAGAGGATTTCAATACTCTTAAGTGCTACCAAAAGAGACCTTTCACCAAGGTAATTACAGTTCCAATGGTTCCCAAACCTGGCTACTCAGATCGACGTTTAAGAATCACTACTTCTAAAGAAGGTTCATCTCTGAGATTAAATGCAGACACCCAAGAGAAACGCCACAAGGCAGGTACATTTCTCCACTTGAAAATCAGATGCAGAGTAGGAAGGGATGAAAAAAGATCAACGCCCAGGAATTGATTATTACTTCCCACCTACCCAAGAGTTTTGACTGTTGGCCAAACTGATCTTTCCTCTTTCATTCTACACCTAAAGCTTGCCCTCTGCATCAAAGACAATCATTCAGAGATACTAATGTCTTCTGATCACGTAAACAAGGCTGGGAAGTCTACTTAGCAGAAAAAACTAAAACCAAGAGATTCAAAACACAGCCTTTAACATGAAGGTTTTCAAAGAAGAACAAGGGCAATCACCAAAAATCAAAAGAACAGTTAGTTCTGTTACAGTATAAGGTAGGGGAGAACTTTACCTAAAAGACACGATTTTTAATTAATTCACCATGTACCATCTTCCACAGGTTAACAATACTTTCAGACTTCCGATAAAACACATCTTGAGTGAAGTAGATCTAAACACTAACAGATAAACAGCTAAAATTTCAGGTTTCTTCCACCCAAGAACTTCCCAATCTATAGGGTTTAGGAAGAAACACAACTTCTTACTCATCTACTCCCCTCACTTCTCTCTTCCTTCAGCACATTTTAAAAAGAAATGTTACCATAGTATCACCTATGTAATAACCTTACCAAAAATATTTAATCTGAATCTAGTCTTGAGGAAATGATTAGACAAAACAAAATAAAGGACACTCTGCAAAACAACTAGCCCAGGCACTTAAAATAGTACAACACAATGAACAACTACAAAAGGCTGAGAACTCTTCTAGATTAACGGGGCCTGAAAAAAAAAAAAAAAAAAAAAGACAAGTAAGTGTAATATGCAATTCTTTACTAGAAACATCAGAAAAAAAATTAGCTATTAAGGACATTGTTGGGACAACTGTAAATACTGTGCCAATATTAACTACCCATGTGTGATAATAAGTACGTTTGCAGTTATGCTAAAAAAAATCCTTTTCCTTAAGAGAGACACAGTACTTAATGGCACAAAGCCAATTTCTGTAACCAACTCTTAAATGGTTCAGGAAAAAATTACGTGTGTGTTTGTGTATGTGAATAGAGGGGGGAGAGACAAAGCAAACATGGTACAACGTTAACAACTGGTCAACCTTGGTCAAGGGTACACAGGGGTTCATTTTACTAGTCTTGCCAGTTTTCTGAATGTCTAAAATTTTCAAAAGAAGAAATGGAGGAAGAAATGAAATGTTACTCACTAGTTGTTGGACTTTAACTGCCTGTGGAATGCTGGCTGGTTGTGTAAGCACGGGGCCCGGCTGTGCAAGTTTGATTTGGACTGGAGTGCCAATGACAGGCTTGTCAGATGTGGTCCCAGCAGAAGTAACAACAGGTTTCACAGACGGAAGACATACAGCTGCTGCTGAGGTTTCTCCAAAAGTTACCGAGGGGAGGGCCAGTGTCACTGCTGTCCCAGAGACAACTGGCTTTTCAGGCTGAAGTGAGACTGCTGTCACTGTGTTCTGCAGAGATGTCACTAGCGGTTTTGGAGTCTGAAGCACAACAGTTCCAGCTGTTGTTCCTCCTGGCACAGCAGCTGGACCCACAGAATGAAGTGTCACAACTCCAGTTTTTGCTCCCCCTGGAGCAAGTGGATTCAGAGTTTGCACTGACACAGTTCCAGATGTTGCTGCTACAGAACCAATGATGGGCTTTTCAGGCTGGACTGAGGAAACTACTGTTGTCACCACAGGAGAAGGTGTTACTGTTGTGGTACAGGTAGCAATGACCACCTCACTAGAAGTCTGCTGAACACACTGCTGAATAAAGCTCTGGGAGTTAGGCATCAGTTGTCGTAAGGCAATCACACTTTTCTAGAAACAGAGGACAAAAAAAACACTGATAACTAAATAAATGAGCTCTAGAAAAATAGAACTACTTTGTATGTCATATCTTTACAACATAAAATTAAAAGTATACCAACGTTTCAGTTGAGGAAATCTGTTATCAATCATTTACATTCTGTCAATAACCAGGATACAATTTAAAGTCCCGAAGTGCTTCATTTTTCAGTTCATAATTCTTATGTCTCAGTATTAAACTTATTTTATATACTTCAGTATCAAATTGGTATCAAATATTAATTTGGTAAAATAAAACACTGTATCCTACTTATTTGTATTTATCTAAACCCCATAATAGATCACCCATAACTTCAGTATTTACAAGTTTGTTTACAGGACAGCAGAATCTAAAAAAAAAAGTTTTTGTTAAATAACTTCCAAATTTTGAGTAGAAACAGCCTTTACATCAAAATAAAATTAATAGAAAGAAAGTGAATTTCCTTAATTGAGCTAGAATATTTTCTGACTGGATTTTAAGCTGGAGTCTACCTTTGTATCTTGCTAAAAAAATAAAAACAGCTTAACCTATAAAGAAGGTTCTGCCTTTTTTTTTTTTTTCTTGCGTTATGCGGGCCTCTCACTGTTGTGGCCTCTCCCATTTGCGGAGCACAGGCTCCGGACGCGCAGGCTCAGTGGCCATGGCTCACGGGCCCAGCCGCTCCGCGGCATGTGGGATCTTCCCGAAACGGGGCACGAACCCGCGTCTCCTGCATCGGCAGGCGGACTCTCAAGCACTGCGCCACCAGGGAAGCCCGAAGGTTCTGCCTTTTCATCCCTGGTGTTTTTATCTACCTTTGTTTTTGAGTAAGAGAAAAAGATGAAAAAGGAGGTGCTTAGTAGGTTATCTTTCAGCGAATTCATGAGCTGTTTTGGAAGATTTCCTTGTTTTGATACTTAAATTCAGTCAGATTGCCTTTACTTAAGAAGCAAATGAGAACTATTCCTTCTCTTCCTTTTCCTTCTAGTTACTTCTTTTACTTTTTTTTACTTAAAAAGATTGAGAATATTTTAATCTGAAGGTTTTCAATTACATATATCTATAAATAGTATCAAAAGAAAGAAACAAAAAGTCTTTCACGCTCTTTTCCCAAACTTTAAAAATGGTAGAAAACAGGGACTTCCCTGGTGGCGCAGTGGTTGAGAGTCCGCCTGCCGATGCAGGGGACGCGGGTTCGTGCCCCGGTCTGGGAGGATCCCACATGCCGCAGAGCGCCTGGGCCCGTGAGCCATGGCTGCTGAGCCTGCGCATCTGGAGCCTGTGCTCCGCAAACGGGAGAGGCCACAACAGTGAGAGGCCCACGTACCGCAAAAAAAAAAAGGTAGAAAACAAGCTGCTTTGGAAATACATGAACAAATGAAGTGATTTGATTAATTAAATTTAAGCAAGAAATCTAAGATGGGGGAGACCTGAGAAAAACACAACTGGAAAGAAATGTTAAAGTAATAAGACTTAAAGAGACAACAATAAAAACAAGTATGTTAAATTATCTCTTGATCACCTGGCCAGAGTTAAGTCTAAATGCCGAATCCCTTATCCCTATGCAAAGTCCAACCTCCAGAGCTCTCAAGGATGTGAAAAAAATATTCTCAAGAAAAAAACATAAGGCTTAATAATAGTCCTTAGAAAACTGATACAAAATGCAGATACTTAATGGTAATATTTAGTAACTTCAAGGGAGTGTTACATAGCCAGTAGAGTCAGGCTAAATTCTAGATCTGTGTGTTTGATCAAAAGTTAAGTCAATTTAAACAATTTTCTCATCTCCAAAATGGAAAATACTATACCATCTAGCACCTATTGTCAAAAGACTGATATGAAAATTAAGTCCAAACAATGCAAATTATAAGTGAAGTAGCTAGCAAAGCACAGAACACATAGTAGGTACTTTATTTCCCTCCTTCTCCCCGCCAGTGTCTCCAGTGAGTATTAAACATAGATACACTAAACAGAGTTGTCAGTGTCACGTAGAGCACCTACAGCTCACAGAACTTTTACATTGAAAGGGACCCAAGAAGAACTGCAGCTAACTTCTCAATCAAGAGGGTCACCTGAAAACAGGGCTCTAGTCATTTGATGTTTGGTACTGCGATGACCCTTCAATCTTCCCTTCCCCAGACTAAGTCTTCCCTGGCTAAAACATTCTGTTTTTTAGCCACATTTTATATCACATGATTGGCATCTTCCTAATCAACATGGTCAGTCTCCTAGGGACAATTTCCAGTTATTTTAACAGCCTTCTGAAAATGTGGTGCCCCATCTCCTTTCCCACTCTTCTTTCATGAGGCATCAAAAAGAGTCTTCCTCTATGAAGTCTCATTCATCTCCCCTAGACAATTAAGCCAAATTTTTCAAAATATATGGGATGAGTGTTTGGTTCACTAAAATCTCAGGTCTTTAATAACTTTATAAATTTTAATTCAATTCCTTTTCAGCTTCAAAATATACAAAAGGAATTTATTTTTTCAGCCTGCCAAACAAAGCTCTTGTTATCAAAGTTATTGTTCTCCATCAAAATCTATTTAATTCAATAAATCTTAGAGAAGAGTGTGTCTACTAACAATATAAATTAATTTTTTTAAATAATAGCTTCCCCCTTCCAAGAAAAATAATAATAATAGCTTTCCCACTAAATTTGGTACCATGTGGTTTACTACTTCTAAGAGAATAAGAGTCATCAGGACAAAGCAGAGACACTATTTTTTTTTAAAGTTAAGAATCTTTGAGAATACAAGCATCAAATAATATAATCATTAAGTTATGTTCATGAATGAGATGTTACTTCTGTTTTCTCAATGTGTTCCAATGCAAAGAATATGAATTATGAATATGCTTTACAGATTACAACAGCCCTGAGAGATTTCTTCTACTGTTACTATCTTCACATTAAATTGCTGTCATATTGAAATATTCAGATTTTAAATTACTTTAAAGTAATCTAATTCAAACTATTTCTTCAAAGTAACACATAACTCTACCTTAAGGAAAGGAACTAGGTGAGGCTGAGGTGAAGACTTGAGTTCAACATACAGCTGTCTAGTAAATTCTTCTGCTTCAATTTTTGCATCCTGAGGAGTGGAAGAAAGAAAACACTTTTAGATCTACAAATATTTTACAAGAGGAAAAGTGTGTGGTTCATGATTGTAGACATAGCAAACTTTGAACAGTAATAAAGTCAAAGTCTATCATTAAATAGGGGCAGTTTTTTCATGTCCCCTACAAAATAAACATAGAGATGTTTTTTCATACAGAATACAATGAAGAGATTATTATTATTATTTTTTTAAGATCCCAGTAAGCAAAGTGAGAGAAGAGCTGGCTGACTGGATAAGGTGATAGTACTACAGTCTGTTAAGAACAATTAAGAAGTAAAGACACAGGAGTCTTACACTTCTTAGGGTAGGAAATTGGAAGTTATTTGGTGTGGGGGCCTTGGATTTTTTTTGTTTTCTTTTCTCAATTTTTAAATTACTTTAACTGAGGTTAGACTGTATTTTATTACAAGGCCACAATAATAGATATGCTGTTGTTCCAAAGAACTTAGGAACCCTTCCATACTGGTTTGGACTCTAAACACTGCAGGGGTCTATGAGGTCTAAATTATTTTCACATTAATACTAATAATTTTTTTGCCTTTTTCACTGTGTTGAGATTTGCACTGATGGTACGAAAGCAACTGCTGGCAAGAAAGGCAATGATAAAAAATTTAAATAGTTGTTGTCATACTCTGCATTGCTATGCATGTGTGGTAAAAAAAAAAAAAAAAAAAATAGAGCCAGTTCGACTTTAAAATGTCCTTCACAGAACAGTAAAATTTAATTTTACTAAATCTTAACCCTTCAGTAGACATCTTTTAAAAATACTGTGTGCAACATAATGGGAACCATACATACAGTAGACCAAAGTAAGATACTCAAGGAAAAGCACTTTGTGATTGAGTTGCTAGCTGAGCTAGCTGCTTTTTTTTCATTTACTGGTAAGAATATCAAATCAGCTGTGGTTATTCACATTGGGGTATTTTGAGAGACACTCTCTCAAAAAACAAACAAACGAACAAAGCCTGTCACTGTAAGGAAAACAACTGATGGTTTTTGTTGCTAATGATAAAAATCAGAGCTCTCAAGTCAAAATTAGAATTTTGGAAAATTTGTAACCACAATCCTGAGCTTGATCCTTGGAAAATTTGTAACCACAATCCTGAAGCTTCAGTACAGCTTCCCTGTACTGAAAAAATTTTCTGATGCGATTGTTAGATTACAAGTATGATTTTTTGATATCTTAATTAACAAATCTGTCAACATTTGGAAGATCTATACAACTCAGCAAACCAATTATTTTCCAGACAACCAAATGTGAGCTGTTACATTTGGGTGAAAGATCCATTCAGGGTACAAGACAAACCAGTGGACTCTAAAGAATATCCATAACGATCTGGAGAAAAGCTCTTAAAATACTTTTCCAACCACCTCTTTTCATGAGGCCAAATATTCTCCAAATACTAATAAGTTTTTATTTGACCAAGTAGTCAACCTTCTCTCCAAAGCTCTTTTTAGGCTAAGTGAAGCAAGACTAGCAAACATAAAGTAATACAGTCGGCCCTTCGTATCCCCACGTTTTGCATGAGCAGATTCAACCAACTAAGGACTGGTGTAGTACTATATTTACAATTCGCAGTTGGTTGAATCCACAGATGTGGAACCCACAGATAGGGAGGGCCAACTATGGGACTTGACCATCCGTGGATTTTGGTATCCTCGGCCGGTCCTGGAACCAACCCCCATGGATACTGAGGGACGACTGTATAGACTAGATTTACTAGTCTAAGATTTATAATCATTACAAAGTTTTCAATAAGCAAAAGCAAAGGTTATCCAAAAATGCACTTAAGATAAACCTCATTTAAAAATATTTATTTCTCATTTAAAACATGTTCTACGGCTGCTTACAGAGCTTTTATAGTCCCAACTTACCAAAAGTTGTTCCACCAACTTCTTCACATTCTGCCCCATCTCCGGGGACTGTGATCCGCTACACGCTAGTTTTATTAACATTGCGAGGAAGTTCTTACATTTCTTCACATTTTCTAGCATCGTCTAAATATAGAAGTATAAACAAACACTCACAAATGTTAGCTAGAAAATATACTCGAAGAAAATTTGTAAAGAGTTCTATTTATGTAAGGTACAAGGGAGAGCTTTACCGGAGAAAGATTAGTCTGAGCAGTGGCTGAGTTCTCTGCTGTGAGACTGGGCTCACTTGAGGGGGTGGGTGGCGCTCCCAAACTTGAAGGCTTCAGGGTAGCCACAGTATTCAACGGCTTTGCAGGGGTCACTGTGACAACACTGGTTGGCACAGCCACAGACTGAAAGTAAAAGCGGTAGATATCAAGAGATGTATTACTATGATATGCATCATGGCGAGTGTCTCATTTCACGCTTAGACTACAAATGGATCTCGACATCCTTGCTTTTATATTATGCTCTACTAGTCTAAGGCAATGTAACACCATTTACCAGCTCTGGACTCTGGCAGCTCTGGGTTTCATTCTCACCTACCTACCTATTTATCACTGACACCCAAGTGTTGATCTCAGGCAAGTTACTTTATCCTGCTAACCCTGATTCCTGTTTGTAAAAAACAAGGACAGCAATGGTACCTACTATCCTGGGATTGTTTTTAAAAAACAATGCCAAGCACGTAGTCCTCAAATATTATTAATACTTCTCCAAAAAAATTTGAAATAGTAAGTTTTTGTAAGAAAATACAGAATTTCTTATTTTATAATATTCTGCTTTTTACTAAGTATAAATCTGAGAGATCTATTGATCGTCTCATATTCAGATAAGCTGCTTTTATGTAGACTATTAGAAAAGCAGTAACAACTTTGTAATTTGTAATAACAAATATTACAAAATGTGAATATCTTATTTTCACACTGAAAAGAATTCCGGTTATTTCTTCTATCCTCTATTAAATGAGGTGTGATTATAGCACCACCTGCAGGATAAAAAATTTAATATAAGAAATCACAAATTGGTTAATAATTTAGACAAGCAGACTGAGATAAAGCAACAATCTTACTTTAAAGACAAACACTAAAAGTTACAGAACATGAGTAAAGTTTGTGGGTGGGGGAGAGAATAGTATTTACAATTCACACAGAAAACTGAACACTGCACCATCATTTTAATTTAAATACTTGTGTTCTACAGGCATAAAACACAAAAAGGTCAGGTTGTTATTACCCTCAAGAAACTTTCTTTCTGCAACAATCAATATAAGTGAATTCAAATATACATCAAAAATTTCCACTTTAGGGCTTCCCTGGTGGCGCAGTGGTTGAGAGTCCGCCCGCCGATGCAGGGGACACGGGTTCATGCCCCGGTCCAGGAAGATCCCACATGCCGCGGAGCGGCTGGGCCCGTGAGCCATGGCCGCTGAGCCTGCGCGTCTGGAGCCTGTGCTCCGCAACGGGAGAGGCCACAACAGTGAGAGGCCCGCGAACCGCAAAAAAAATTTCCACTTTAGAAAGACTGAAGCATATATTAGGCAAGAATGTTTTGGAGATAAAAAAATGGGAAAGAAATTTAAAACACTGATTAATGATGAAGATGAAAACTTATGAAATGCTAAGCAAAAAAGGTAAAATTAAAAATCATACCTAAATTAGTAGTTTTATTAAATATTAACAGATCTCAAAGACAACAACGAAAATGAAGTCTCGTTCTTAGTCTATCCCTAGTCCTGCTCTTCAAGGACAAGTACTGCACAGTTCCCTCTGAATCCTTTTGGAGATCTTCTAATAAACATTCTTAGGTTTATGTACAATAAACACATACTCTTTTTTCAGTGAGTATGTTTTATACTCTACCATTAATTATCTGTACTACTATATTTAAGAAAGTAATGTCGAACTTTAGCTGTTGACTATGATTACCTCACAGGATTGATGGGAGGGGTTCCTCAGGCGAGTACTGTCCCTCTTCCTTATGAAGCAAAATAAGGCCCAACGAAATGTGAGCTCAGGAAAAAAGTCCTATTTTTTGTGAGTAGAAGAAGCATTTGTGGCACTCCTACTTTCCTTGTCAATATTTTATTCTGTCTTCAGCACAAAATTTGCCCTTCATAACTCTTTTTAATATAGCTACTACCTGTACCTTACCAGATACCTGCAACTCTTAAGAGGCATGGAGAAATCACAATCCTGGTCTTACTCTATGTATATAATCACACTGCTGTAATGGACGGACTGTTTTAAACTCAATCATAAATCTCAATATTCTAGACCAGGCAACGCTATTTCCATGCTTTGCAAGACTGCACTGGCACTGATTAGGCATGTCTAGGGGACAGGAGAGAAAAGACCTGGGGTATATGTGAAGTAAATTATGAAAATCAGTTATATTAATACACAAGAGTCAGTGAAATTAATTGTATACAAATTTAACAGACTAAATTGCCTTTTAAGGAGAGTCATCCAAGTTCTAGCTCCTTATTTCCAAGAAATGCCTGAAACTGAGATGCTTTACCTCTCAAAGTGGACACAGAAATTATTCACTAACTTCACTGATAATTTCTACTGCCTTAGCCTACCACTAAGGAGCAACTCAGCTTAAAAAATGCATCAATCTAAATTAAGAAAAGTTATACACACCCTGCATGGAAATAGCAACTGTAGACATATATATGGAAAAATAACCCAAGGAAAAGAATTAAACAACACATATATACCATTCTAGTACAACTATATGTACTAAATCTTTAATAAATAGATACAATAAAAAAATTGATTTACTCAAAATACTGTGGAAGTTGAAAACCCTTTCATAAAATAACTGTATTGTAAATTCTTCAAACTTCGTATTTTTCTGGTGCCTCAACATCCCTACAAACAGGCTGTGAAAGCCTGGCCCAGGTGACCAGGTGCACCAGTGTGGTAAGGCTGGTCCCTGCCACAAGTTCTCTTTCTGCTCTCCCAACTGTGACATAATTCAAACACACCAATGAAATCCCCTCACGTCTTTTGCTTGTGTACTCCATACCAACCCTCAACAAAGGCACTTGCCCCCAGGTCCTCATTCCCTCTCAGATCCCCACTTGTTTGGTTGAGTCTGCCCCGGTGCTCCTCCCATATGGCCCCCTGCATGTCATTCCATGCCACCCTCTTCTAGGGCCTGTCAGTATAGGAAGTCTCTTTCACTTTCATACACCTTCCTGTGGTGTTATTTGGTGTCCACATCTGACTGATCAAAAAAAAAAAAATCCCATTTTAAGAAACAATTATTTCTTACAACACATAGCAGCTATCAGTAGGCCTAAATTCATACCCTTTGGCCCAGTGATCTCCCCAGAATAACCTAAGGGCAGGGGGGCAGGGGGGAGGTGGAACCTAGAGTTTGAGACAATCAGCAGAGAGGTCATTAAGAATAGAGTTTCCAGAGTCAGATAGAGACCTTGGTTCAAATGCCCCCTTTGCTACATATTAGCAGAAATCATGCAAATTTCTTAACTTCTCTAAACTGATTTTCACCTACATAAAATAGAGATAATACTTCCTTACAGAATAGTCACAGGATGAAATGAAATGAGATGAGGGATGTAAAGCACTTAAAAAGTGTCCAACACATTAAGTGCTCCATAAATGGTAGCCATTATTAGCAAAAAAAAAAACAACAAAAACAAAACAACAACAAAAAAAACTATGTTTAAAATCAGGTTCACTGATCACCATCTCTGTTAGAGGAAGTAATATGGTTAAGTAATTCTGAAACACCAAACACCATGTTTGATCCACAGCATGGGATTTCACATAACATGCTTCAAGAAGATGTATCTTCTATACAACAAAGGAAGTACAACAGTGGTCCCATGACCATGGGATCCACTGATTATATCAAATATGGCATGAACCAGAAGCTGCCTGCCTAGTAAAGTATTAGAACAGCATGCAGAAAACACAGGTGAAGTGCAAACTCAGAGACAATACTCTATGAAGATGGAATTCTATCCTCCATCTTCTAAGACTCAGTGCATACTCACTGAACCAAAAAATTCTATATGGTACTATGTCCCCAACAGGACAAATATATGAAGAACTGATCCACTTATCAGTGGATGAACGGATCCACTTATCATTACTCCCAAAGACCCACTGGGGGATCCTGTGCTTCCCATTCCTGCCAATAGTGGGCACACTTTCACCAAAGAACATAGCAAGAGTCCCTATAAACTAGACACCATGGCTGCCTCTTGGACACTTCAGGGTCCCTGTGTCCAGTGACCAACAGGAAAGAGAAGAGTCATTATCATGACAGGGGTAACTGACCTGACAACTGGAATAGATAGGGTAGTTTTTACACAATGAAGGCCAAGAGGAGTTTATGCAGTGAATCCAGGTGATCCACTTAAGTGCCTCTTGGTATTTCCTTGCCCAATTGTGCTGATAAATGGACAAGTGACACAACTCTTGCCTCAAAGGACTGTGGCAATTTGGACCTTGGATCCCTCAGGGATAAAAGTCTGATCACACTACCAGTTAAGACCCAGAAGAGTTGGTAGTTGAGTGTGGGAGGAATCTAGAATGGATGGTGGAGGAGGAAATGATGGTATCAGCTGCAGCAGTGAGGACTGTAGTTCATCCTACTAACCTCCTCTTCTTTGCTTCTCCAAGGAAGAAACCTATAGAAATCCAAGGAGAGCTGGTTTCCAACACATATGAGGAAGTAGATCCCAGCAATTCAAGGAGTAGACTGTGATACACCATCACAAAGAGAGATTTGTGTTATCCTAGCTGTTGGGAATGCCATTTAGACAGACAATTGTCAGCTCCTTCAGAGTCTGCTTCAGCTACAGAGAATTACCTGCCCATGAGCACAACTCTCCCTGGAGAGTCCACATCCTATGACTGATCACAGAGGGGAAATTATGGCTCATCCAACCATGCTGGCACACAGTGGGACAACTCTGACGGGCCACGCTTGCTCCAAAGCTCTCCATCAGGTTGGCTGGGGCTCTATTGGACCTGCATCTAGTTCAAACTCTTACTCTCCTTTCCTTCCACAGGTATCAATCCCTAATAAATATCCCATACACCAAAATTCTGTCCCAGCACCTGCTTCTAGACACTGTGACACATGAACATTAGATGCATTTGTATTAATTTAATACATTCAAATAAATCTGATATTCCAAGAATATACACCATGTTCATCTTGTGTTTCCCATACTTCTAACAGCTCCCAGTTTAATAAGTGTCCTCATATATCATTGAATTGCTCTGTTCAGGAAATAGCTAACAATAAATAATAACAAAAGATGAGAAAATAACCAGTGCGCACATGGCCACAAGTCACAACTTACTTGCACTGGGGAAGGCTTCGGAACAGTGGTTACCACAGTAGTTCCTATTTGTGCCAGTTGTTTAACAGGTGCCACTGCCACCTTCTTGATTAACTGTGAACTAGAATTCTTGGGGGGGAAGGGGAGATAACACAGAGCCATCAGCATTAGTAATTTAAAATTCATCGGTACTATGGCAAACATCAAAACACTTTACCACAGCAAACTTCTTTGTTATAACTGGTTTTATAACCTCATGAAATTTTATGCATATTTTCTACTATTAACCTAACTGGTCAATTGGCCAGTTGACACTCATTTCTTATTCCTAAAGAGGCAACTGATTAAACAGATAAATATCACAGTATTTCTGCATTAAAATATTGAATTTTACTCTTTGGTTCACACAGAAAACATATAGATACTTTTTTCTTTGGTCATTTCTATTGCTGGTATCCTTTTAGTCTTTTCTTAAAATAACTTTAATTAAACTTTATTTTTTGTGATACAATTGACATATAACATTGTGTAAATTTAAGGTGTACAATGTGATTTGATATATTTATATATTGCAGTGTGATTCCCACCATAACAACTATATCATATCACATAATTATCATTTTTCTTTATTGAAGTATAGTTGATGTACAGTATTATATAAGTTTCAGGTTTACAACATGTCAATTCACAATTCTTAAAGGTTATATACTGCATTTATAGTTATTTTAAAAGATTGTCTATATTCCATGTTGTACAATATATCCTTGTAGCTGATTTATTTTATATATAGTAGTTTGTATCCCTTAATCTTCTACCTCTATCTTGCCCCTCCCCCTTAGATTCTTATTTAATATATGATTATAAACAAAAGTCTGCTAACCTATCTCCTCAACCCATAGCAAACAAGAAAGGGAAGGAGCAGCTATCATTGACAGATACAGAAATAGAGAAAATGACTGGCTGAGAACCTATAATCAAATTATGAGAGAGTGGGTTGGGGGAAACTGGCAAAGAATGATATTACCACAGAATACAATGAAACTTTTTATTAGGATGAGCCTGCTTCATCAAGAAAATACTATACTACATTCCACATTTTCTGTTTAACCAAAGAAAGATGTTCATAAAAGTATATTTTTTTAACTCTGGCACACAAAGGATAAGCTTTAGTTACCTAGAAAGATGATCATGTATGTAAAATAAATCATCTTCTAACAACGCCAAGTTAATGAAATATTACAGCAGATTTCTAATTTTTTTAAAGGTAATTCCTATATGATATGGATAAGAAAGAATACTATAAATTGTAGTGTTAATGTTTTACCACAAATTAAAATTGAAGCAGAATGGCTATTTTCTTCCCGTTTAGAGATGCACATAGCCCTTTGAACATCCCCTGAGGACAACAAAATCTTTGAGTACGAAGATTAACTTATTAGTTTTGCCAAACGACAAAATCAAACACCTAGATTAAATTAACATATTCAAAGAAAGTAGCTTAATTCAAAAAGTCGAGCAGAATCATCTCTTCTATTATTTTTAGTGGCAAATACATACAAATTTATATGAAGATAACTGCTGGAAAACTGAGGAGGATGAAAAAAACTTTAATGTACATTACCTGCATTGTACAGATTTTGACTGTTTGAGTATTCGTTGGTACAGCTGGCCTTGAAGTTATGTTACTTGTGGTCTCGGTTCTTGTTACAGCTTGCTGAGGAGATACCAACATCAACTGACCACTGTTACTTTTGATCAAAACTGTTCCTATAGTTAAAAGAAAACAAAATGTGAGCTAATAAATGAAGTATAATCATCACATATTGTTCTCCCCCTTCTTTCAGTGCTATAAAATGTTCTGAATAAGTGATTAGTTAGTACATACTGAATTCCATGTCTACTAATTAAGATATATAATATGGAAAAAATGTTGTCACTCAAAGCTATTTAAAATATTAAAAGTCTAAACATATGAACAAGATACTCCTGAAGAAGGCAAAACATTTTTCCTCATGACATCAAACTATCTATAATGCTACAGTAAGACGGTATGGTAACAGCACAAGACTACACAAACTGACCAATGGAGTAGAACAGAAACCCCCAAATAGACCCCAAATAGCCCGCAGATAGGTCATATCAAATTTTTCTAAAAGCACTGCAGATCAGTGAGAAAAAGAGCTACTATTCAATAAATAGGGCTTGCTCAATTAACTAATGGAAAAGATGAAAAGTTTCACACCATACACAAAAACCCAAGGGCATTAAGGATACAAGGATAAAAAGTAAAAACTTAAACTTTTAGACAATGTAGAAAACTGCTATTCTGAACTTGGGATAGGGAAAAATTTCTTAAATAAGTGAAGTTTGATACATACAACTATATTTTAAAAACTTTTGTTCAGCAAAAGAGATCTTCAGGTAAAAAGACAAACCACAAAATTGGAGAAAATCTGGGGACTTCCCTGGTGGCGCAGTGGTTAAAAATCCACCTGCCAAGGCAGGGGACATGGGTTCGATCCCCAGTCCAGGAAGATCCCACATGCCGTGGAGCAACTAAGCCCGTGCGCCACACTACTGAGCCCATGTGCCTAGAGCCTGTGCTCTGCAAATAGAAGCCACCACAATGAGAAGCCCACGCACCATGACAAAGGGTAGCCCCTGCTCACAGCGACTAGAGAAAGCCCCTGTGCAGCAACGAACACACAACACAGCCAAAAATAAATAAATTTTTAAAAATAAAAATTGGAGAAAATTTTAGTTCACGTATATTCAAAGAACAAATATCCAAAATGCAAAAAAGAAACACAGATACCAGTGACAGGGAAAGGTAAATTAAGACCACAGTGAGATATCACTTTATATCTACCTAGACAGAAAAAAATTAAGAAGTCCAGTGACAATATTAAGTGTTAGAGAGATGTGCAGCAACAAAAACTCTCAACATCTTTAGGCTGGTAGTGTAATTTGGTACAACTGCTTTGTTCAACTCTACATTGTTGTGCCAAACTGGTTCCAATTTGCATACCCTCTAACCCAGTATTTCTAACGTAAAGAGATTGTTGTCCATGTAAGTAGGAGGCACAAACAAGAATATTCATAGCTGGAGTTCCATTTCTGGAATGGCAGCATGAAGAGCTCAATAAAGCCACTCCCCAGCAAAACAAGCATAACATGAAAATTATTTTTAAAAACAACCATTTAAAGTCTTTGGAAATGCCCTAAGGCATACAGAAAATGACTAGACAATTATTAAAGAGAATCTACTAAAACTCAGAACAGCAAGAATCTGTGGCATCTGAACCATGACCCACTCCCTCTCCCTTCTCAGTTCAGGCATTGTGGACAACACAAGGCCTCCGTCTTTCCCAAACTCCCAGTTGAGGGCTATGGTATCTCCCTGGAAGAAGCAGGCCACTAGCATTTCCCATCTCTGCCACCCCAACTTGCATACAGAAGAGAACAAATTTGAAATAAGTGCATCCAAGAGTTTCCAGGCTTTTTGTTTCACCCATCCCTACTCAGAAAGGGAAGGCTCTAACCCAGGGATGGCTCAGAGAATACTTGGGGCCCAATCACCCTCACCCCAGCTCTTTCATAGGGTGGAGGTTCCACACTGGAAGAGGTAAGCAGAGAAGACCAGAGGCTACCACCATGCTCAGTACCCCACTTCTAAAACATGGATATCACTCAGAAAGAAACATGCCACAGCCCTGGGTACTTGCTCCAAACATCTCCCAAAAGAAACTGACTTTATTTCCAACAGAGTGTGGGAAAGGTCAAGGCTAAGGTCACTCTCAAGTACAACAGAACAATTAAAAGGTTTCTGGTATCTTCATGACAGATATAAGCTAAGTCACAGGCATATCTCCAGTTTACCAGAGAGAACAAGATAAAGAAACAACTAAGAAGAGCCCTTCTGGGGTGAGAACCTCAAGCAATTACCTCAAAAACTACCCCTTGTAAAGGAGTCCACATTTAATTGAATCAGACTATGGAGGAAGTTAGGCTCTAGGGCACTGCTGAAAACAAGAGGGTAACTGGCTGGCAGTGAGTGGAGCCTAACAGCTAGGCATGACACCAGCTGAAGCAGAAAGCTTAACAGAAAGATCAGAGAAAGAAACAGTCAAAAAGAGCCCTGCTAAAACCACTGTCATCCCAAGGTGGCTGTGCTTATGCCCAAAGCTGTACCCTGTGAGGAAAACAGACTTCACTAAAATAACACAGCCATTTAAACAAACAAACAACAATAACCCACTCAGGGGAGTAAAGACCAGTATCTAGATTTGCTATATTAGTTTTGGGGCTTCCCTGGTGGTGCAGTGGTTGAGAATCTGCCTGCCAATGCAGGGGACATGGGTTCAAGCCCTGGTCTGGGGAGGATCCCACATGCTGCGGAGCAACTAGGCCTGTGAGCCACAACTACTGAGCCTGCGCATCTGGAGCCTGTGCTCCACAACAAGAGAGGCCGCGATAGTGAGAGGCCTGTGCACCGTGACGAAGAGTAGCCCCCGCTTGCCACAACTAGAAAAAGCCCTCACACAGAAATGAAGACCCAACACAGCAAAAATAAATTAATTAATTAATAAACTCCTACCTCCAACATCTTCTTTAAAAAAAAAATATATATATATATATTAGTTTTGCTTAACAAATTACAAGACATACAAAGAAAAAGAAAAGTGTGACACAGAAAAAGGCAGGCAACAGAAACCACCTATGAGGGACTAGATGTTAGATTTAACAAAGACATCAAAGTAACTGTTATAAATATGTCAAGAAGCTAAAGGAAATCATGCTTAAAGAAGGAAGATATGATGATGATTATCTCAACAAATAGAGAATAACATTAGAGAAATAAATATCATAAAAAAAGGAATTCTGTAGTTAAAAAGTACAATAGCTGAGGGCTTCCCTGGTGGCACAGTGGTTGAGTCTGCCTGCCGATGGAGGGGACACTGGTTCGTGCCCCGGTCTGGGAGGTTCCCACATGCCGCAGAGCAGCTAGGCCCGTGAGCCATGGCCGCTGAGCCTGTGTGTCTGGAGCCTGTGCTCTGCGACGGGAGAGGCCACAACAGTGAGAGGCCCGCGTACCGCAAAAAAAAAAAAAGTACAATAATTGAAATAAAAATTTCACTAGAGGGCTTCCCTGGTGGCGCAGTGGTTGAGAGTCCGCCTGCCGATGCAGGGGATACGGGTTCGTGCCCCGGTCTGGGAGGATCCCACATGCCGTGGAGCGGCGGGGCCCGTGAGCCGTGGCCGTTGAGCCTGCTCGTCCGGAGCCTGTGCTCCACAACGGGAGAGGCCACGACAGTGAGAGGCCCACATACCACAAAAAAAAAAAAAAAAAAAAAAAAAAATTTCACTAGAGAGGCTTAACAGCAGACTTGAATGAACAGAAGATAAGTCAGTGAACTTGAAGATAGTTCAATAGAGATTATGCAATCCAAAGAACTGAGAGAAAAAAGAATGAAGAAAAGTGAATAGAGCTTCATAGAAACGCGGGACAAAGATAGGCGCACCAACATAGGCATAATGTGAGTACCAGAAAGAGTGGGGGAGGGAGGGGAAGGAGGGAGGAGGGGAGAGAGAGAGAGACAGAGAGAGATAGGAACAGAAAAAATATTCAAAGAAATAATGGCTGACAATTTCCCAAATTTGATGAAAAATAATCTAAACATCCAAGTAGCTCAACAAACTCTAAGTAAGATAAATGCAAAGAGAGCCACACCAAGACACAATATAATAAAAATGTACAAAGAGAAAATCTTGAGAACACCAGGAGAAAAATGTACAAGAGTACTGCATTAATAGGATTAACAGTTAACTTCTCATTAGAAACAATGGAGGTCAGACAGCAGGGGTATGACACATTCCACTTGCTGGGGAAAAAACAAAAAACCCAACTATCAACCAGCAATCAGATATTCCCTGAAAATATCTGTCAAAAAAGGAGACAAGATAAAGGCATCCTAGACTGGGATTGACATATACACACTACTATATATAAAATAGATAACTAATAAGAACCTACTGTATAGCACAGGGAACTCTACTCGATACTCTGTAATGGCCTATATGGGAAAAGAATCTAAAAAAAGAGTAGATATATGTATATGTAAAGCAGATTCACTTTGCTGTACACCTGAAACTAACACAACATTGTAAATCAAATATACCCCAATAAAAACGTAAAAAAAAAAAAAAGACATCCTCCTTAGAGGACTGAGTGCTAGCAGACAAACCAGACAGGAAATACTAAATGAAGTTCTTCAGGCTGAAAACAAGAGACTCCAGAAAGTAACTCAAATTCACATGAAAAGGGCACTGGTAAAGTTAATTATATAATTTATATGCATATTACTGCTTTATCTTAATGGGTTTAAAAAACAACTATATAGAACAATATATATAATTGTATTCTTGAACCTATAACATATTAGAAATGTAACATATTTATGAACAATAACACAAAGAAAGTGGTCAGGAGCAAAGTTGTACTGCACTGTACTGAGGGAAATGACCTCAGATGGTAACTGGAATCTATAGGAACAAATGAAGAAAACTAGGAATGGTAAATAAGAAGGTAATAAAACAAATGCTACAAATATATCCTTGTGCTCCTTTCTTCTGTCAGCATCTTTAAAAGACATATAATTACATAAGGTAATAATTATAACAAGGTATTGTTGGGTTTGTAACATATCTAGATGCAATATGTAGAGCAATAATAGCACAACAATAAAAAAGAGGGAAATGAGCTAAAT